CACAGTGTCTCGTGGATATCGGAAGCAGACGGAACCGGGCCGGAGGAACGTCGCCGGCACCCGCCCTCGCTCACTCTCCAAGTGCAACTGGCGAGAGACTGGGCCACACGCCACCACCTCGACTGCCAGGGGAGGTGCCTCGCGGCGGCCTGCCTGCTGTCTGCCGTCTGCACCCGCTCGGCCTCCTCACACTCCCTCACACTACTAAGTACACACAATGGACGTACACCTGGACCACGCCTCTTGTGTACACTGCTGTGGCCAACCCCCCCCCCTCCCCCTTGACACACACCCGTTGTATCCCTTCGCGAGTGCCTGGTTTCGAGTCACACAGTCTTCCCGCCCTTCAGGAGTGCACGGCTTGACACCAGGCCCTGCTCCCACACTGCACGCCCTCCCTCTGGGTCACCTCCATGCACGGGCGCCTCGTTACCATGAGCTCCGTGTCTCTTGTAGGCAGACACACCAATCGCCCGCTTTCGTTCGCACTTCATTTCCATTCACGGAGAAGGAAGAATGGAGAGACCAAGGCAGGCAAGTAGCCGGTAGACAGGCAGAGAAACAGATATAGAGGCAGATAAATAATAGATAGAGAGGGGGAGACCGGGAGGGAGAGAGGGAGGAAGTTATGGAGGGAAAGAAAATCAGACAGACAGACAGACAGACAGACAGGCAGATAGAGAGAGTGAAACAGACAGACCGAGAGAAAAGACACATACAGATACAAACCCCCCTCCCCCCTCCCCCTCCCCTCCCCAGCCTCCCCGGCCCGACAACCCCGCAAGTAAGACGGATCCCGCGTCAAGACCAGACCATCCGTCAGCATCTCCCGCCTGACCTGTGCTGGCCTCGCACGCTGAACCTCCGGCTGCTGTCATGAGCTTCGCCCCAGGCTTTTAAAAGACAAAAAAAAAGAGAAAAGAAAGAAAACAAAAAAAGAAAAAAAGTAAACGTTCTCTCCGATAAAAGAAAATAGGCAAAACATAAAAACAAACATCGTTTCGCAAAATAAAAAAACGAATAAAACCTAATAACAAATAAATAAATACACAAAAACAGAGCAAAAGGAGCAAAAAAAAAAAAAAAGAAGAAGAAAGAAAAGAAAAGGAAAAATAGGTCAAACAAGCGCCGACACGAGACGAAGACCCCGTTTATTGAAGGTCACGTCCTGCCTCCGCTTCCCTCTGCTTAAAGCGACGACCTTCGCTGCCGAGGGAGAAGGTCACTAAACGGGGTGTGGAGGAGGAGGAGGAGAAGGAGGAAGAAGAAAGAAGAGGAAGGGGGAGGAAGAGGAGGAGGAGAAGGAGGAAGAAGAAAGAAGAGGAAGGGGGAGGAAGAGGAGGAGGAGGAAGAGGAGGAGGAGGAGGAGGAGGAGGAGGAGGAGGACGAGGAGGAGGAGGAGGAGGAGGAGGTGGTGGAGGAGGAAGAGGAAGAGGAAGAGGAAGAGGAGGAGGAGGAGGAGGAGGAGGAAGGGGGAGGAGGAGGAAGAGGAGGAGGAAAAGGAGGAGGAAGAGGAGGCAGACAAGGAGGAGGAGGAGGAAAGAAGAGGAAGGGGGAGGAAGAGGAGAAAGAGGGAGGAAAAAGGAAGGGGATGGAGGAGGAGGAGGTGGATGAAAAAGGAAGGGGGGGAAGAGGAGGAGAAGGGTGACGAAGGAAGAAGAAGGAAGAGAAAGAGAGGATGAGGTGGAGGAAGAGAGGGGTGAGGATGAGGTGGAGGAAGAGAGGGGAGAGGAGGAGGTGAAAGATGGAGGAAGGAGGGAGTGGAGGAGGAGGAGGAGGAGGAGGAGGAGGAGGAGGAGGAGGAGGAGGAGGAAGAAGAAGAGAACGAGGAGGAAGAGGAGGAAGAGGAAGAAAAAGAAGAGGGGGGGAATAAGAAAGAGGAGTAGTGTTCTTCCTGGTGTTAAGACAAAAAAAAAAAAAAAAATTACATTCCTGTCTTCCTGCCTTCCAACGAGTGAGGTACAGACGTCGATCAAAAGCCAGACGAGGGATCTCTTTCATTCGATTCCCTAATACGGACTCAAACCCACGTCAGGGAGTGAGATGTAAGAGCCCAGGCGAGAAGGAAACGGGACTCCATTATATATGTTCAAAAAAAAAATCCAAAGATCCGAACATCCACACACGCGAAAATCAAGAAAAAAAATATAGAGAAAAACACATGGAATAAAGCACAAAACACGACTATTAAAAAAAAAAACACAAAAAACACATGGAATAAAGCACAAGATACTAGAAAAAAACACCACACCCCCTACTCACTCGCCCTCCTCCCCCCTCCTCCGCCCCAAAAAAGAATCCCCTCAACCAACGAAACAAACAAACAAAACAGGTTCCTCCACCATGCCCAAATACCCACGAAAGCACACCTTCCCGCCTCACTGGGCACGTATCCGCACCGTCGTCCACAGCAGACAAGATCTGACGATGACCAAAGGCGGGAGTAATTACTGCCTCTATCCACATCATCTGGGCGTATCTGTGATCATAACCCAAGTGGCTTCATGGGTAATAATTCACATACCGATAGTAATTACGGTTAATTATAGTTCTGTTAACTCAAGTACTGAAATTAATTATCGTCTTGATGACTCGCACAAGGCAGTCAATCATTGCCTCCGCAACTCGCATTATCAAATGAATTATCGTCTGAAAATTGTATTAACTTCATATCAACGGATCGATTTATTTACTTTAGGTGACTCAGCTCACATAATCTCTGGTGTCTAAGATCCCGTATCTCCTTTCCTCGTGTTCGCCTTTTCCTCTCGGCCTCTCGCTATCTCTTATCAGTCCCTCGCCCCCTCTTCCCACTCCCTCCCAATTATCCGGTTTATCATTGACGGAATCTATAACCTTCCCCAAAGTTTCCTTCCCTTCATTCTTTCCTCGCCCATCCCTTCGTCTCTTTCCTTCTTCCCTCCCTTCCCTCTTCTCGCCCTCACCCTTCCATTTATCTTATCCCTTCCTCTCCCTTATCCCTCCATTGTTTCCCTCCCTTCCTCTCTTATCCATCTCTTCCTCTCTCTCTTCCTTATTCCTCTATTGCTTCACTCCCTTCCTCTCTTATCCATCTCTCCCCCACTCTCCCATCCCCCTCCCTCTCTTCTTCCTTCCCTCCCTTATCCCACCATCCCTCCATTCCTGTTCCTTCCCTTATACCCTCCCTCCCTCCCCTTCCCTCTCGCTCCCTCTCCCCTAATACCCACGAATACCCACCCGTCACTCCCAATCGGCAGGTCAAGCCCTTTCCTACCTGATTACGTGAGGTGTTTGAACCCGACGATAGCAAAATCAGCTGTTCCTTGATAGTAGAATCAGCTGTTCCTTGATAGTAGAATCAGCTGTTCCTTGATAGTAGAATCAGCTGTTCCTTGATAGTAGAATCAGCTGTTCCGCGATAGTACAATCAGCTGTTCCTTGATAGTAGAATCAGCTGTTCCTTGATAGTAGAATCAGCTGTTCTGCGATAGTACAATCAGCTGTTCCTTCCACCACTGGAGAAGCGAGATGAAAGTCTTGGCGATGACGGGCGTGCGTGCAAGCGTGTGTGCGGATATGGGTATACGGAGGAGGTAACTGTTTGAACAGCGAAGGCAGGACAATGTGCAGGGGGTCGGGGTGGGTTGGTTGAGAAAGGGAGGGGGGGGGGACTGCGTGGAGAGCGTGGGAGAATTACGAAATGCGAGCAAAGTGAATGAATGTGTGTGTAGTGTATGTGTGAGTGTGTGAGTGTGTGTGTGTGTGTGTGTGTGTGTGTGTGTGTGTGTGTGTGTGTGTGCGTGTGCGTGTGCGTGTGTGTGTGTGTGTGTGTGTGTGTGTGTGTGTGTGTGTGTGTGTGAGTGTGTGTGTGTGTGTGTGTGTGTGTGTGTGTGTGTGTGTGTGTGTGTGTGTGTGTGTGTGTGTGTGTGTGTGTGTGTGTGTGTGAGTGTGAGAGTGAGAGTGAGTGTTGAAACGCCCCATAGACGAGCGAAAGACAGACAAGACAGACAAAAGAGGGGAAGTGCAGCGAAGAGGGGAATAGCAAGGAATGACGCTAAAACTGCAACAGGCGATTCCCCAGTCACCTCTCTCTTTTTTTTAAGCACGCGACACATTAATTCAGACGTCGCAAAATCATAATTTTTTAAGGAAAAAAAATATAAGGCGAGAACAGGACTCTTACATTAGCTTCGACTTCACAAACTCCATTTTGTATTAATATTTTTTCCCCATGACAAATTTTCCGGTTTTAACACCTGTAAAAAAAAAGAAAAAAATTCCTTTCTGATTTCAACCCATGTTCCTCGCGAATTCACTGCTGTCTACGGGAACGCGGCGAAAAGTTTTGCAAAAGTGAACGAAGCGTTTCGAAATTTGACCGGAACATTCGAGGGGAGCGCCCGGGGGTATTAATCGTGCCATGACTGTTTCTTTTAGCGATGCTATGGCAACTGTCAACTGCTAACTGTCAAGTGTCAACTGCCAACTGCATTCACCCCCTAGCGACAACGAGGCAGCCCGAGATTCGACCCCATTATAGATATTTTAAACGGGTATTTACTCTATTTGGCCATTGACTGTACTCAGAAACCAGCGGTATAAATATATCCACACAATGCACACGATATCTCGCCACTTAACCTATAAAAGAGGAAGAAGAAAAAAATAGAAAACACCATTTCTGTCCGCACACACAAACATTTCCTATTAATAACTCGAAAGGCAATAACAGAGCACCCGCCTACTCTCCTCCCACTCCCATCCCCTTCACAAAAAGAGAAGAGAAAAAAAGGAGAGAGAGAAAGAAAAAAATTGGAATAAAAATACAACAAAACAACGTGTCTCCAAGTCGGTTACTCAACTGCGTGACAGAAGGGCATATCTTCCGCGGGGCGAGAGCAGGTACCAACGCGCGGAATTTTCGCCGATTTTTCGCACCTCGTTCGAGCCCGGCATTTCCCTCCCTCCTTAACGTTCCGCGAGACACGCTAGAACCCCGTCTCATAATCCCGAAAGAACTTTGAAAATTCACGCCGAAAGAGAGACAGAGAGAGAGAGAATAGGAGCGAAAAATAAGAGCGAA